AAATTACAAATCAGATTTAAATCGATTTAAATAGATCAGATAATTAGGAATAGTAGTGATATAATAAAATCAGATTTAAATAGATCAGATAATTAGGGATAGTAGTGATATAATAAATCAAAAATTGCATAATTTTTTTTGGTGATGTTCATAGTTCTCTAATTTTATTGTCTTGTTAGTTACAATTTTATACATGTGTAAAAGCAATCACTCTTTTAAATTGGGCTTTAATGTCGTAATTGTTAAAGAAAACCCCTTGTATTTATGTATCATTCGATATTTGAAATAAAATCACGGAAATAAAGAAAGGGATGTCATTTATTTATTTTGATGTGTTTATTTATCACATGTCACATGTGCGGGGTGCCGGGTGCCGGGTGCGTATTACGACATTTGAAATGCTCTCATACTATAATATAAAAAGGAATGCGATCGAATAGCATAAATATATGTGCAAATCTTTCAAATTTTTCACATGGTCTCTTTATATTGAGGGCCTGTTTGGTATCGGCTGCAATGGCTGGAATGGCTGATAAGACTGAAAAGACTGAATCTGCTAAAATGAAAGTGTTTGGTAATATATTGGCTGAAATGAATGATTGAATGTAAAATTACAATAAAGGGTATTAATACTATGTACTGTATATGTTACTCCGTAATGCTTTCCTTGAAATTATTGACAACCTTTCTGCGTCAAAACTCAACAAGTCAACAGCTATGTACATAAGTGAAATATGACCAATTTTCCATAGTCAAGGTCTTTCCAATATAATACTAAAAAAGGATTTTTTTTACAGAAAAGAAAATCCAGAAATATTTCACTAAATTTCTACGACCTAACATTCTAACAACGAAGAGCTTGACAAAAAACCAGGTCAATTGAAAACATAAGTAAAGAAAAGAATCAAATACGAATGATATTTGAGAGGTTTCAATTCTTAGATTATGAAAAGAAAATCAACAAATTGAGATTTCCTCAACCAAAAAGAAGAAATTGCAGATCAATAGAAGGGAAAGCAAGAGTGAGCAAGCCTGGTTTCAGCTGAATGGTTTGGGAAAAATTCAAATATGGGATTGGGGTAATCTTCTAATACGAATCATTCTCATATGCAGTTGATATGTAATGATTTATCAGATCAATATTCTTCCGTTGGGTATTCTTCCCATACAAGCGAGCTAAAGGATAATCTTGCATTGATCTCTAAAGCCGTGCTGGGGTAAAGGGTCTTTATCACTGCCAACGATGGAATAATAAAAATCAGCTGAAAAAGTAGCTCTACACTTGCTTTTTCAACTGATAAGAAATATCAGCCCAAGTAGCTAATTTGGATTGTGTTTGGAGAATTTTAAGCACTTTCAGGCTTATCAGACTATTTTGGGGGCTCCAAACGGCCCCTGAGATAGAACTAGATAAATCTTTCTGCGGTTCGAAACGGAACCAGAACCGAACAGCCGGTTTGCAATTCTGAATTATTGCTACTCGATCAATCACAAAATAGTTTTTTTTTCATAAATAACCAAGTAGTAAAAAATTAGCTTGTAGAAATTTCGAAGTTAGTAATCTTAAAGTACTTTAGTAATATGTCAATTATGTATTCTTATAACTATAATTCATAATGTTGAAGTATTATAACTAGCAATGACTAAAAATTACTAACTAATAATCATTATTGATTTTCAAACAAAAATACTAAAAATAATAATTTTCAAAATTCTTTGAGATAAGGGTCAGATAGGGTCTCGAACTTGAAAAAAAATGTCAAATAAGGCCATATTTAGGATGCTCTGTCCGGCCGACGCTATTTGGGGTGGTTCCCGGTAGAATTTTTTGATGAATTTTTTTGAGAATCTTATTCATTAAGTCTAGTTTACTCATATCAAATTTGAACTAAAACTTTAATCGGGAAGGCATTCAAATGAATTCTTGAAGATAACTGTACCGTTAAAAGTGCAGTTATCTTCAAGAATTAATTTGAATGTGTTCCCTATTGAATTTTTAGCTGAAATTTGGTATGAGTAAACTAGACTTGGTGAATAAGATTCTCAAAAAATTTCATCAAAAAATTCCACCGGGAACCACCCCAAATGGCGTCGGCCAGACAGAGCATCCTAAATATGGTCTTATTTGACATTTTTTTTCAAGTTCGAGGCCCTATCTGACCCTTATCCCAAATTCTTTTTTATTGTAAGTAAAACAATTACAACTATTAGTACTATTATTATTATTATTATTATTATTATTATTATTATTATTATTATTATTATTATTATTATTATTATTATTATTATTATTATTATTATTATTATTATTATTATTATTATTATTATTATTATTATTATTATTATTATTATTATTATTATTATTATTATTATTATTATTATTATTATTATTATTATTATTATTATTATTATTATTATTATTATTATTATTATTATTATTATTATTATTATTATTATTATTATTATTATTATTATTATTATTATTATTATTATTATTATTATTATTATTATTATTATTATTATTATTATTATTATTATTATTATTATTATTATTATTATTATTATTATTATTATTATTATTATTATTATTATTATTATTATTATTATTATTATTATTATTATTATTATTATTATTATTATTATTATTATTATTATTATTATTATTATTATTATTATTATTATTATTATTATTATTATTATTATTATTATTATTATTATTATTATTATTATTATTATTATTATTATTATTATTATTATTATTATTATTATTATTATTATTATTATTATTATTATTATTATTATTATTATTATTATTATTATTATTATTATTATTATTTATTAAATTGATCAATTAATGTATTTAATTTATTTTTGGAAAAATTGAAAAGAATAATCCCACCTTTGCACCTCATTTTCTTTCATTGGACCCTGAACAAGTTTTTACACTTTCTTTGAAAATCATATAAATAATTTCACCTTTTACTTTTTTATTTTATCCTATGTGAAATTATTTATATAAGATTTTCAAAGAAAGGTAAAAAATATGGTCAGGGTCCAATGAAAGAAGATGAGGTGCAAAAGTGAGATTATTCTGGAATTACATAAAGGTAGGATTATTATGAGAAGACCAGTGAAAATGTGAGATTATTCTTGTCAATTTTTCCTTTATTTTTTAATAAAAAATAATTCCAAACTGGAACCAGCTGCTCCGAACGGGAACCATCCATTGTGAACAGGAATCGTTTGATTCCAAATCGAATCCGGCAGTTCCGGTTCCAACTTTTCTAAGAACCGAACCGGACTACAGATAAAACTTTGGTTCTAAACCAAAAGTACTATGTGGTTCCGATTCCGATTCAAAAAATTAACAAGCAGTTCGGGTTGAACCTTGAACTGTGTTGAGAGAATTAGCAGAGTGGATGTTGGTCTAATGTGAATAAGAGTTTGCTTGACGATCCGAGGTTCGAATCTCAAGCTTGCTTTTTTTATATTTTATCTTAGTTTTGTCTCTTTTTAAGCTCTAAAGTAATTTAAAAGTAGCTATACATAGTTGTATTAAAATTTTAGCTTGTATAAACTAGTTCAATATAATTACAATTAAATTATTCACACAAAATTTGTGATGGTAAAGTTTAGTAGTGACTACCTTCATCTCATGCAAAGGTTCATGTCCACTATTCTCTAGTCAATATAAAGTATTCTTAATCTCTTAATTTGTATATCCAAACTTTATAAAATCTGTTTTTTTTGTGACTATATAAAATCTCTAATAATAGTTTATGAATATGCAATTCTTTTACTAAGAAAATCTAATTATTACAGACAAGGATCAATTAACTTATAGTCAGTCAAATATCATAAATCGTGTAAGAACCTCTCTATAAGACGGAGGGAGTACATTGTTACATGTAATATATGAAGTTTATGGAGTACTACTGGTTTTTAATATACTTGTGAATTCATTAGTTAATTAAATCAATTCGAAATACATATTTGATCCATTCCTTATTCGATTTTTATTGTTAACATAATTTTGAATAAATTATAAACTCTGTGATTAAAATTCATTTTTAGCAAAGTTAAATTTGATTTGCCATGAAATTTTTAATTATGTTATCATAATATTATAGTCCCACAAATAGTTTTTTATTTATAATTTTGAATAAATTATAAACTATGAGATATTGTTTATGAGATGCGTGAAACAATCAAGGTGAGTTTGCCCCCGCTGAAGAAAACTCTTGGATACGCCATTAGTTCCCGGTGACGGTTGGGCATGCGGGGGGGTGGGGGTGGGGGAGATTGGATATAAATTACAATAAGAAGAAATAGAATTAATTATTAACCAAAAGGTTAGTCATATTTTTGGAAAAAGGAAAACTAATCACTTTTTTTATGATTTACAAAGCTCTAAGAAATACTTGTATCCTTTTTCCTAACCATTTTCACTAAAATCATTTATCATTTACACCTTCAAAATATTATCTTCTGATAACTTTAATTTGAATTCAGTATAATTTATCTTGTTTTGTGTGAAATGACAAACTGCAATGCCAATAAGTTTGTGATCGTGTTATTACTATTGTTATTGTTATTACTATTATTGTTGTTATTTCTATTTACCATCTATGTCCCTAAATGGTCTTGATTTTTCGTTTTTCTGCATGTCCCTAAATACTACGTCCTCCGTATTATATAATGACTTTTTGCGGTCTTGCTTAAACATGAGCAATGATGGTAAACCATAAAGACCATCTTTATAAGTAATTCTGAATCAAGCTCACCCACGACGTAGAGGGGTTCCTCTTTTCTGCATGATATAAGGCCAATGAGAAGTTGAGAACATATATGGGTAATATGGCAGTGAAGGAAGTCGAGCTTGTGCTGGAATAAAATTACGTTCGAGGCGCTGATCAATGGAGGTCAATATCATTTCCGTTCAGCATTTAATGTTTTACACAAAAATCTCTTGCCATTTAATGTCAAGTCAAAAAAGTGCACCAATACCTTAAAAGTTGGGACCCTGTGACTTTGGAACTTGTAAAGCAGATTTGCATTACTAGTGTCAAAGTAAGCGCACATTACTCAGTCAATTAAATTACTATAAGAGCTATCATGTTCAACGTTGACGAAATAATGTACAAGAGGGTCCAATAAATACAAGGAATAAATAAATCCAAACGTGCAAGAGGAAAACATAGTCAAACCCACAAATCAGTCTTGTTCTTCTTCATCTTCTTCTGCAAGAGGAAAACATAGTCAAACCCACAAATCAGTCTTGTTCTTCTTCATCTTCTTCGTCACCGGCAAGTAGCCCAGCGGCATCATCACCAATGCCGTCTAGCAATTTATCAACATCCTCGCCGAGCTCAACCAACCTCACGCTGAGCCTCTCCACTTTGCTTTGCTCTTGTCCCAGGCAAACCAGAAGGTCGTTCAGCTCAGCTTCACTCTCCTTCTGAGCTTCTTCCCTTGCTTCAGCCTTTATTGCCTCCATGTCCCCACCGCTCTTTAAACACTTCACTTCATTCTCTAGCTGTGCATTTGCCTCTTCTAGACTGTTGTATGCATTTGACAAGCTTTGCAGATCTGATTCCATTCTACTCGCAATATTCTTATACATCTCCACCTCTGATTCAACCTTAGCCTTCTCTGCCTTTACCATTTCCAACCGTTGGGTGAGTTCTTGATGATCTTGGCGAAGTGTCTCGATTTGGACTCTTTCTGATCCTCCGCTGACTCTATGCTCCACCAGCTGAAATGAAGAATCGCCGGCTGTTTTGGCAAGATCCTCTGCCAATGCTGCGTTTCTACCCAAGAGCTCCTTTTTAAAAGAAAATGTCAGTACAAAAATGTAAAATTGCTCTTTGCACCTCAAGTTTACCCTAAAATTTCACTTTGAAACCCGTGCTTTACTTGTAACTTTCGTACATCTGATATAGAGAGGACATTTTTCATATACTTTGTAGCCATTCCTTACTGCCATATTTGACTTTGCACCCACTTTAGGGTGCTCTGAGATGCGTGTTCAAAAGAAGTAAAAAAAATGAGGTGCAAACTGTAAAATCTATCAAACAAGACCTAAATAAATGCGTGTCCAGAATTACCTGCATCTCGAGGCACTGTTTCTGTACAAAGCTTTTCAACCTCTTGATGTATTCTCCATCACTTTCCCCGCTAGTTTGCTCCAGCTCGGCTGGCACAACTGCCACCTGGCTCTTCGGATGACTGTAAACTTGCACTGTCTTTTCCCTAATTTCTGCGACCAAACGATTCACAAAGCCAACAAACTGAGAATCAAAGATGGATGCAAGCAGAGGATGATCATCATCCTTCTTCTGAATAGCCGACTCATCATCCATGTCTTCAATTTCAGCCATACTTGCAGCGTTAGATCTCGTCAGTGGTTTACGAGCCAAAGATGGCTTTGCAGATGTAAAAAGAATACTTTTTTGCATTTCATCAAACTTTTGGAAGTATGATGTCAGTCCAACTTTTTGGCTTATTGTGTCAACTATGCTTAAAGCATCTTTTCCGGTCCCATTATTGCAAATAACACATTCTCCTAATAGTACTGCAGCCAATCCTCTTACAGAAGCAGTGGCAGTGGAATCTGATATCAGTTCAAGAAAATATGTTAGATGGGGGCGTGAATCAAGAAAAGACTCCAAAGCACTTGGACATTCGGAGAGCCAGATCACTAGAAGTTTCAAGATCACAGCTTGAACAAAAATATTTCCAGATGTGTTTGATTTTCCTTCTTTGCTTCTAATTGAAGAAGCGAGAGCGAGGTACTTCACCAAACGGTGCATTATAGGCTCTGGACCTCCTAATGAGGGCATAGGCGCTTCAAGTTCGATCCGTAGAAGCTGCAGTAACCTTTTGACATTATAAGCAAGAAAAGAAAATCTCCAATACTTTACTCAAAGCAATGTTTCACAAATTTGGCTATTTTAACCTTTTCTTTGCACTGGATGTTCCCATTGAGAATGTGCGAAAGAACACTGGCTGCTCTGCAACAGGTCTGCATATTTGACATTATAAAGGAGAATCGCCATCAACAAAAGTTGTTCAGGACACCTCTATTGATCAGAAAATCATCAGATCACTTATCAAAACTACATTTGAGGCCCCTGGAAATGATTAATACTCTTGCATTGACAAAATGTGAAGAGTGAAAGAGATGAAGGTGTTCAAAACTCATAGGTCATATTTCATAAATAAACAAAGACTGGCATATCCTTGAAAAAGTTTAAGCCTGATATATGTGAATGCTTACTAAAGAATGTTGGACACATAAAACACTATTCAAGAACAAGAGTATAAGCAGAACTCTGAAAGTGTCTGGCTGTCGAGTGATTCTAGGTTCAGTGTGCAAAAATGTATACAAATAGTATACGATAAAACATTTCACCAAAATTATTTACAAAATGGACCGAATAATTGTGGGGTCTAGTCATTTTGGTCCGTCTTTGTAAAGCTGCAACATATAGCAGAAGAGACCACATGTAGTCATGTATGAAAGAAATAGTAAATCAAATAAGCTAACTAGCTCATCTAAAATAACATTTATCAGTTGCCACTGATTATTAATAAGCGGCAGCCCGGTGCACATTGGCGTCCCTGCAAGGCGAGGGTCCGCGGAAGGGTCCCATCACAAGGGCATATAAGGAGCAAGTCTTCCCTTGTCATTTTGACAAGAGGCCGCTCCCAGAACCTGAGCCCGTGACCTTTCGGTCACACAGCGACACCGTAACCGGTGCACCAAGGCTCCTCTTCCCCACTAATTATTAAAAAAATAAATAAAAAACAACACTTCAAAGAGTTGAGGTCAAGGAAACTAAAGGTTCTAGTGGAAGATCAATTAAAATGGTAAGAGCGACCAATCGCTCCAAAAACTCTTCAGATCCAATTGGAAGAATTGCAGTTGGAGCCGTAAATCAACCCTGTAACATAATTTAAGGGTTTAGTGTGATTGGTGTGGACAGAACTATCCAACTACCAAATTTCACCGCCACCACTCAAGCCATTTAAATTTCATCCCTCTCCAAAGTACTCATGAATATATAGCATTGTGTGCATTACCTCAAGATTACCATCACTTTCGCCCATTGTAAGACCATGTAATAGCATGCTGCCAAACAGAAGTTTCATAGAAATGATTATGTTGTTAAAGATATTATAATTCCTACTTCTCCTGCAATGGTCTCACTTGCCTTTGATGAGTGAGATGCTGTTTTAAAATAAAAGAACTACCGTCATTTGATAGGTAAAGCATAAATTACCTTCCGAATGACATGTTAACATCCTCCTCAACAGGAGCATAGAGGGTTGAAACTGGCTGTGGAATTAATGTAGATGCCAACATTTTCTGACCATCAAGATTTTCCTGCATTGAACAAATAATGGACAGATTAACATCAGTAGATTCAGATAAAGAATAAAAATAAAAAAAGACCAAAACTAAAAAACACAATTTACAGAAAGGATTTGTGTGGAGAACACAAGAAAAGGTCAAATTGCAATATATAAAATGACACAAAGCACAAAGACTAGTTGTAACACGAACCTCACAAAAGCTCTTAAAAACATAATCTGCAGCTACAAACTCTTGTCTACTGGATGTGCGCAAAAGGATACGAAGTAGAGAATTCAAAGCTGGCTCCATATGAGGCTCGTCACCAAGTACTTTTGTTGCAAGTGCTTCAAGATTCTTTGGGTGACCAACAATTAAATCACCAATGCATTGGAGTGCCTGAATCACATATTGTTGGCATTAACTAAATTGTGAGGTTTCTTAAAAGTTGTCGAGTATTAACTTTTAGGGTCTCTTTGGAACTCCAAAACTCTGGCTCACATGGTCTCTTTGGAATGGAAGAAATTCCATAGAAAATTATAACGACAAGGTCAATCTCATAAAGGCCGTAATTTACAAACATGTGAAATTTTAAAACAAGTGAATGTGTGTTTCATTAATTCTTTGAATTTTGCAAGCTTAATCAGGATCTAAACATACCCTTGGGAACTATGTTAGAAAATTCTAATTTCCATAAGAATGAATATTAGTTGGAGCATGTGAACCAACTGTAAAATATGGCCATATGATAACTTTGGGTGATTGTTAAGAAAAAATTAGAGAAAATGACATGGATTAGTACAATTAGATAAGAAATAAACAAGCATCCTCCTTACCGCACAACGAACAGCAACAGGAGCCCATTGGCTTTCAACTCCCAACATCAAAAGATGGTCCACAACCTTCTTCTGCAATATTTATAAAGGAATTTTGAAGCAATAAAAGAAATGTATGATGGATCTCAAGCAATTTTAATAAAGAACGTCTCAAGAATCTAGAAATAAAAGATATACAATTCAAGAATAAACCTGAACCAAAACTGTTTTGTTTGTTAACTTATTTGTGTCTTTTCCCGGATCAGTATCTGGACTTCCCAATATTAGCATATTAATTGTTTCAAGCACGCTGAGAAGGTTTATCGTCTACTGGCAAGCAATTAAAAGTAACAAAAGGGGAGGGAAAACATAGTAAGGTTAGGTTATTATATTTCTTCCGCCAAAGAATGGGGCAAATAAATAAATGCTAAAAGTTCAAAAGCAGTTAGAAGTTTAACCTTCTGTTGGGTGAATTTGTAGGCACTACCTCTGAGCTTAAGAATTTGTATAACGGAATCAAAGCCCACCGTCTCCCTGAGTAACACCTAAAACGCAATTGATGACTTCTTGGTAACCAGCAAAAACATATATATATAGGCAAATGACATGATTAGATGAACAATGAGCAGATATACCTGATTTGATGCATTGTTGCGAATGATATTGTTCAACAATTCAAGACAGTCCTGTACAGCAAAATGGCTGATTCAAAGGATGTTTGATTCTAACCAGCACACAAAATACTATGCAAAATCAAATACATATAAGCAGAACTAAGGCAACATAAAAATGTATATTATTGAAAACTTTATCACCAAACCTGAACAACAACCCCTCCTTCTGAGCCTCCCTCCTCCTTCATAATGCTAAAAATCTTTTCGAAAGCCCCTTCAAACACCACAATTTTTTGAATTTCCTGAAGTTAAAAAACCAGGCTAGTTTAGGCAGAATGGAACTATGGAAGTTGAATGAAAACATTTACGAACTGATAGAGTAAACAGGGTTAAATTCAAGGAGAATCATGAGAATATAACTTGCCTCAGCTTCGCGAGTGAGGTAGGTAAGAAGTAACAGGGCCTCATTTCTTATGACCTTCATAGCATTCATAACATTAGGATCAATAGCTTGAGAATAATAGAAAAATACATACTGATAAAGTATTAGAGACCTCACGATCCATAAGCATGTCCATAAGTCGTGTAATACCACGAGGAATACTCAGAATAGCTTCTTGTAACCTAAACAGTATTTCAGCAGCTTTCCATGAATACCACCAGGTGAAGAAAGACATAGCGTGTTAGAAGAGTGTGAAGAAAGTAACAGCGCAAAAATGCTAAAGATACCTATTCGGAGAATTCGTTAGAAGTGCTGTTAGAATTTGCAGCGTATAGTAGCGTACATAGAAATCTTCCTCTGACTGTCAGGAAAGTAGAATAGAAAAATTAACAGGCATTGATGATTTAAAAAGTCAATTGCTTAGTAACAAAATTAAAGTGATTGGACCCTGACCAGCAAACTTAGAAGAAGAGAGATATTTTGTACATCTCCAGACAGCAAGTCGCTATTCATTAAAGCTGGTTGAACCTCATTCATTAGCACTTTTCCATGACTAATTGGAGTTAAAGCAGTCACAAGAGTTTCCAGAGCACCACGAACCTTTGAGCCATCAAATATAATTACATTTTTAAATTAAGTGAAACACAGGGGTAATTGAGCTACATCAAAAGCATAAAACCATGACGAATAAAAGATCATAATTTACGGCTTAAAGTGACAGAAACACTGGTACAGAAAAGTGAAGAGATGCTATTTAATAGAAAATAAAACATTCTTACAAAACAAATATAAATGCTACTTTGCTAAGTACTAAATTAATAATGCTTGATTGCAACTGCAGCAGTTGTGACTTGCGAGATTAAGAAGCAAGGCAGCAAACCATATAAAGAATTTGTTGCTTGGGGGTAGTAACTAATAGCCTTGTGTGTATAAGAACAGATTACCTAAAAGTAACTAATCTGAAAGTTGGCTTATTAACATGTTGCGACAAAAAGAAAGGATCAAAATAGACTAAAAAATGTTTGGAACTTGGATATTGGATATTTCAAAAGAGCAGCGGCTAAGATTAAATGCTGTAATTTAGCCAACAGATAGTGATTCAATAAGTTCCAAAATACAAGTTCTTTGAATGCACAATATTTTTCATGAAGTTTTGATGTCCTGGGATTGAATTCACCAAAAACATGCAATTCTCCATGACCAAATAGCCTCACTATGAAGAGGAACAGCTGACATTGCCAAATCTAAAACTAGAAGAACTATCAAGCATACCATCTCAACGTCATCCCGCTCCTCCTTTAAAACACTCAAGATTACAGGAAAACCTGAAACACACAGAAGCTTGAAATGACTACCACGATATGCAATGATTGTAAGAAACCACGGAAGTGACTGACGTACTGAACAAGTGAAGAAAAGTATTAAAAAAACATGCAAATTCATACAACATGACAACCACTAACCCATTGCTCCAAATGCTAGTTGTCCGCCATGACTTTCGGAAACAACAGATTGTAGTTCAATAATAGCAGTTCTCCTTTCGTCAGCCAGGGTGCCATTGCTTATGCGATCAAGCAAGCGTTCCACATAGCTGTCACATGAAAAAATGTATTAGTTTATGCAAAAGGTTACATTATATTAGCATAAATGATCTTAAATAATGAATCATGATGAGTGGGCGTAGATTGGGGTATGGCAGAGGAAGGTGAATTTAAACTTTTTACTTCAAACATTTAATGAAATGTAACAAATAATTGCAGAACTGGGAATTTCACAAGTACATCTCATAGTCATTTTAGGAAACATTTTGAGTTATACAAATCAGCATGCCTAGACAGTAGACGCCCTACAGTCCACATAGTTCACTTTCTCTACCCAGCTATTGAAATCTAACCAAGTAGGGCAATCATTTAATAAATTAGTCACATAAAAGCCCACCTATCTTCATTTGAACTTGAACTATCATTGCCAAAAACACGTCCAACAACACCCTGCACACGAAGCAATCAGGTTAGTCACATGTAATTCTAAGGGTCCATGCATTATTAATATATAAATATTATACCAATATCTGAAACCAAAATATTTATCCTCACAATTAAAAAGTGAATATTCTGTACTTGGAACAAAATAGTGAAAGCGTTCTTAAATTAGTATCTTACACGACTATAAGGGTTCAGTAAAAAGCCCTGTGTTAGCTAAATACGCAATCAAGCAAACGAAAGAACCAAAAAATACCTGATACTTGGCGACTAAATCCATTTTTCTATCAGCTAACCAGAACTCTCAAAATCCTGGAATAAATTACAAAAAATGCCATTAAAAATTAGAGTCAAACCATAAAAGGATAGTTTTAAAATTGGAACAGTGGAGATTTAGGATTGAGCTAACTGACAGGTAACAGTCAAAATCAAATGAGAACAAGCCCTGGAATGAGTTTTCCCTGCTTAACGTAGAGAGATCGCTGGAGAAGAAGGAAAAAGAGATCTTTTGGAACAGGGGTTTGGAATACTCCCTGTTAACAAGCACACTAATTTCAGCGAATGAAATTAACACACACTAATAATACTGTCACAAGCAATAGCGCCATGACCCTACGGAGCAATACCAGAAGAGGAAAAAGAGAAGCTGATTTGGCTAATACCTTTTGTGCGAAGGGAGATCGATTAACTGACCGGAGCTGTGATGGGTTTGGATTGTTTTAATCAAACGGCTGTTTTTCTACCGGACTGGATAGACTTCGGTGCATCTCCGGGCATCTCTGTAATTTCTAAGCGCACCAAATTTACCACGTTATTGGACAATTATGTCCTGGCGCGTTTAGAGGGGTCTTTTCGAGGGGTATTTGGAAATGCTTCTGTTTTTTTTTTTAAACAATCAGTTTTCAGATTTTTTTTTTTAAACAATCAGTTTTCAGAAGCTGGTCACCTCTAACTTTTAAAAAAATTGATTCTAGGAGTAAATTTGAACACCAGAATCACTTCTGCTCTTTCACACAAACACTCCAGCTTTTGCTTCTATTCCCTGAAGGAGCAGAAGCAGTTTTAAGAATCAGATCCAAACACCCCCTAACCTCTCAAATTAATTATCAAAAACTAAAAACCTTTGTGAAATTTACCAGTTGTTCATAAACCCAAATGGCAACATCTTGCTATCAGCAAATTATTTCATTAAGTTGTACTTCCTCCGTCTCATTGGACTTTGTCAACTTTGCCTTTTTTATTGTAAAAAAAAAATTTGTCACTTTCCTATTAAAGCAATTAATTTGTGGTTTTGCACATTTATCTCTCCTCTGCACAAATCTCAACCACACAGTTTTTACTATTCTTATTTCTCACCTACTTTGCACTTGGCAAAGTCCACCGGGACGGAGGTAGTATACCTGATCTTTAATAGTCCATTAGTCCCTATTAAAAAAATATTCCAACATTTTTAGTAATGCCATATTAATGGCAGATTCAATGAGAATTTCAGTATTATGGAGAGTAATAATGCCATTTTTTTGACATTTTCAGAAAAAATGGATTTTAAAAAAAAAAATAGCAGATTTTTACCGACCGAAGGTGGTGGTGCTAGAAGGCAGTGGGAAAGGTATCCATATTTTTTATGGGTTTTTACTTTTTTTTTTATTATTTTTAATTTTTTTTTAATTTGTTTTTTATTATTTGTTTTATTATTTTTTAAATATTTTTTACGATTTTTTATTATTTTTGAAGATTTTATTATGAATTATAACATTTCATTATGAAATAATACCCTTAGGGACATTTCTGGTAGGAATCAATTGTTTAGTCCTATTTGGGTTGATTAAAAGTGTAGTAGTTCTATTTATGCATTTTAGGTAATTTTTCGTCTTATCTAGAACAATTACAATAATGCATTTTTTCATATCACACCGTTTATAACATTGTTTCACTTTCTTAGTTCTGCCCGCACATATATGAATAGGTTGATTCAACAATAAGAAATTGTCAATTATATGGTTTAAAGTCGGAAGATTCCCCCTAAATAGGATTAAATAAAAGCAAAATTGCAACAATGAGATCGGAGCTTAATGTTTAATTTATGAAAATAGGACGAACTTTTCCTATTCTACCCTTTCTCTTGTTATTATTAATAGCATTTCTTAAATAAAAATAATAAAGCATAAAAAATATACATGCCTCAACTACCACCTCAGCCACCTTCTAGTATCGCCACCATATGACCGCTGTTTGAGGTAGTTTGTGGTGAAATGTTTTGATGAAATTTTGTTAGAATGTTTTTCCTAAAATTTATATTATGTCCACAATCGGGAACTCAATTAAATATATTGTTGAAAAATGATGCGTTGTAAATAAATTAGTGAAAAACATTCTTACAAAATCTTATAAAAAAATCAATCGGAAATCACCTCAAATGGCGGCCTCCACAAGGCGGTTCAGATCATATCATGAGTTCCTGATATGAATTGCCATATATATACTCCGTATGTATATATGAAAATGTATATACTCCACATGGCGGTTCAAATTATTATTATTATTATTATTATTATTATTATTATTATTATTATTATGAAAAGGCATTTTATTAGGATAAGAAAATTTGGAAGATTACAAATAACAAGTAGGGAGCCTAGCAACAAGTTGAGCTCCAACACCTTTCTGAATGGCTAATCCAATCCTAATAAAAAGAAAATTGCCAACTCTTAGAGTAGAATCATGTCTAGCAATATGGCTCTTAACTCGTTTAAGAAACAAAATGGAATCCGGTCCAAGCTCTCCCAAGGTGGTGAAGCCCAAGGTACCAAAACTGTGCCCATTTGCTCTGCAAATATCCTCATATTTATGTCGTTTCCTTTCAATGGCTCTAGCAAGTGCTGCCCCAGGTTTAAAATGCTCAAGATCAACATCACCTGCAAAGGGAGAGACAATAGTAACATCTAGACAAACATCAGCCCCCTTATCCCACCCATAAAGAAGGACATCAGCCGGTTTAGCTCCACACCCCTGCTGCGTAAGAAACCCCAAGGGAGCCTCAATTTTGTGAGAAATACCAGCCCTAAAACAAATATCCGCCACTGTATCCCGAACCAAATTATGCCTAAATTTGGGACCAATCAAACTGGAGCAGTGAAGGGCATGATCTCCCCAAACATCCATAAAACCATAATAATAATAATAATAATAATATTATTATTATTATTATTATTATTATTATTATTATTATTATTATTATTATTATTATTATTATTATTATTATTATTATTATTATTATTATTATTATTATTATTATTACTATTATTATTACTATTATTATTACTACTATTATTATTATTACTATTATTATTATTATTAATGCATACAATCTTTTTCAAAATTTTAACCTTAATTTATCAGTGTCTTAATTCAAGAGTGAGTTTATTTTAATTTAATTCCCTTTTTTGCTATTTATAAAATATTTCGTCATATCATGGTGAATTAATGCATTTTTTCATATCACACTGTTTATAACATTGGCTCCTTTTTTTGGGTTCCGCCCACGCATATATGAATTGGTTGATTCAACAATAAGAAACTCTCGATTATATGGTTTAATGAAGTATATTACCCCCACCTTATCTCAATCATTCAATTATTCAAATCATTTTAGTATCTTATCTCAATAAACTTTTTTGTATGCCAAATATGGAATTTGTTTACTTTGATCTATCGTTCAAAGTGCTATCTCATCAAAAAGATGTTCCGTTTATTATAAAGCCATTTTTGGGGCAGGGAACTCGAAAAAAAATATTATTCCTCTTTTGATTTTCATTTTATTCTCGTAAAGTAGGAAAAGTTCTTAAATTCATTCGCTCGCCTAGCTACCATTTTACCAGTCCAACCAATTACGTTACTTACGTACGTAGTATGCATTAGTATGACATCATCTATATTGAGGTAAACTTGCATGCGTTTATTTTTTCGAACATCTATCAAAAAGTTGTACATGAGGACATCAAGAGTTAGAAAGGCACTTAAATTTGATGTGATTCTTTTTCTTTCAATATGAAATATATTCGGATAGATATCCTAACATTTAATTAGGACCACAAATAATTATGCATTGAGTATTCATAATGATATTTTGCTTTACTTCGAAAAGTCCAAGTCTTAGAAAATCAAGTGGAGAACAGATTGTACACCTTAGTTGATTTGTCTTTATGTGAACACATATATTCTAATTATTATAGATAATAATAGAAACTTTTTTTAAAATATCATTGAGGGAAATAAAAGTATAAATGTAAATGCATTCAAATTAAAATTACTATATACTTCGTATATGTGTCCACCGCCACTATTGCATTGTAAAATTGAACATGATCTTAATTACTAAACTTATCATTATAATTACTAAGTTACAAATAATCACACTTTTATGTACGGTGTGTCTTATTTAATTTCACCATTTTATAATCAAAATGACATTTCCAAGTGCCGTACAACTTTGGATCTTCCATACTAAAAAAAAATCTACTAATTACCGTGTAAAAGTATCGTTGTTGTTAATACCGAGAATTAGTATGACACATGGTTGTCTAATGAATTTGGAGGACCCTATATTATTTTAAATGCAAATTTGAAGCCCCACTTTAATTTAATATAAAAACTAAAAAATATTTTGTATCTAAATTCTTATTATACACAAATCAATTGAATACTCATTAAATAATGCAATTAAATAATTACATGTAGTAAGTCCCCCCTTTCAAATAATAAATCTCTACATTTTTGTAAAGTATTTCAATTTATGATGGCATTATTATATGGAGTAGTTTAGTATGAATTTAGCCACAACACATATTCATATAGGATAGTATGCACTACTCCCGTACTCCGTATTATATTATGTTATTAATTGATTAATTAATGTTAGTGACTCTAAAAGTAATACAACTAGTGCCTTATAAATATGAGGGCCTATGAGAAGTGGGGCTATATATTCTGTTTAACTTAATTAATATGCTATGTACTAGTATCAATTTCTCGTGAATATGTAATCCGTTTGATTATCTATACTCATTGTGAGAAGCGCATTCAGAAAATCTAAGTATGGTTGAGATGAAGAGTAATTAGATTAGACATCTTTTCGAAAAATGGTGATTTATATTGAATAATCAGAATTCAAACAAGTTACAAAAAGGCAAAAATTCTCCTCCCGAGCTTTAGCCCTTAAACCAAACTTAAAATCAATCACCTCTAAAAAAATAAGAATAAATTCCACTTTTGGTCACATGAGTATCACACCAATTTCAAAATTAATTCACGTCTTTGACTTTAACCACTTTTGGTACATGATCATTTTTTCGGCCCATATATAGTCCTTTTCCGGTGGTTAAAATGTCCGGAGATGAATCGAAAATGGTCAAGAAAACAATAGTCAAGTACCAAAAGTGGACAAATTAAAAGACGTCGACTAAATGTGAAGTTGACATAAAGTAAAAGTGTAAAACTCGTAGGACCAAAAGTACGTGGAATTAGTTCGAAAACAATATGACACGTTGATCCTATAATTGGCTTAACTAAGTCAATAACGAACGAAATAGATCTTCCATCACCCAATCTAAATTTTAGAGTTCTGTTAGTAAAAAACAAGAACAAACCCAAAACAACATCGAATTCGATATAAAAGATAAAAAGAAACTTTCAGATTAAATAGTTGTAATAAAGCTACCTCCTCATAATCACTAGGAACATGACTTTGTGCCCTCGGGGATACAACTTCCAGAGAGACTCAGGCGGTCCTGGACACGCCTCCTCCCCGTTTCTTTGGCTCATCCAGGCCTCTTTCTCCGCTCCCCCACATGCGCCTCCTCTTCCGATCTGATCTCCAGGGCGGTTCCCAGCACCGATTATCCCTGTGACTCCTGGCTCGACCTCCCCGGTTTATGTTATAACTATCACGAGCCATCCCATAATGTAGCACTTCTTTTCCACATAGATAACTGAAACTAGATCTATTTAGCGTATTTTAATTTGAGAAATAGGAAAGTCACGACCAATGATCTTATGTGTTAATTAAAATATGGTACCAAAAATTCAATTAAATAATGTTGGGGGTATTTTTTTAAACTAGAACAATTATGGGGAGGGGATCTCACACGAAGGCAAAGTGTATACTTGTAATCCGTATTATTTATTTTCTCCATTTAAAAAAGATATTAAAAATCAGGTTGTCCCGAATCCTAAGCTTCAGGTCATCATAGTCGTAAATTCGTAATGTAAATCTCATCTTTCCCAACTCATTTACTCGGTCATTTCATCTATTTACATATGCCTAATTATCATTAAAAAAAATTACCATGTCTAGCATGTCAATATTTATATATAGTGGGAATTTTCTTAAAGTAGGAGTAAGACCAAGGTGAGTTATCTAAATAGAAGTCCAGTACTTTTTTTCTAAAATAAGAGTAAAGTACTGCAGTGTTGAGACCATACACATAGTATATATGCATGTCATTACCATATAATAAAATAATATCACAACATTTTCCTAAAAGAGTTCGTCATATTGACTTTTCTTGGTCAATAATGGAAAATTTTGGACAATGATTTTTAGTATATTATACGGAGTATTTGTATATACTTTATAAGTTTTTTACTTTTAAGAAAATATTTTGAATAACGAACATTTTGATATAATTTTCATATTCTAAGTAATTTCGTATTAAAAAATATCATTGGTCAAAGTTAATTGTCGTTGACCAAGAAAAGTCAATTTAATGAATCTTTTAGGGATGGAGGGAACTCATACTGCTTGTGCTCCTATTTTGGGCAATTTTGCATCTATTATCATCAATTTACTTCAATTTTGATAATTTCTCATGAATATTTATTATGTAAATTATATGATTATTCACATACTCGTTACATATTGTCTTATGAGACAATATGCAATGAAACTTCAGATTTCCTTTATGGGCTCCCAAAATAAACTTACAATTTCTCTTTTGATAAAAAGTTTATAGTTTATACCAATTCTTACACATTTCTCTTACATCTTTATAGTACAACCCCACCATACAATGCTCACTATTTTAATCCTCGTGCCAAATATACTATGGAAGTTAATTTAGGGTCAGAGGGAGTATTATTTAAGTATTACTCCGCACATAGTACTCTTACTTTTTCTATATACTAAAATGATTGCGACACTTCCATTTTATTTGGGATGTATTTTGATTTTTGCTACACTTTTATTTAAAAAATAATTGCGTACTGTTACTTTTTCTACTTTTTATCTTTTGTTTATACTTACCTACAATCTCTTCTACTTTTTCTACAATATGACTATTCATTAGTACAATAGTACTCCTACCATATTTCAGTTAGTAAGGAGTAATATGTATACCGATCGAGTATTTTTATTTGACAAAGAGTAGCATAGTACTCCCTCCGTCCTCCCTCCGTCCTGGAAACAAGTTCTTAGGTTGACTTTCACACATTTTAAGGAAATAAAGTTACTGAGAGGCAAAATTTACAGTTTTGACACTGTTTTGCACTGTTTGACACTGTTTTGCATTGTTCGACACTGTTTTGCACTTTTTGATGTAGATAATTTACCAAATAAGAAAGTGAGAATTTTATTTTGGGACATCCAAATAAGGAATGTGAGAATTTGTTTCTGGATTGGAGGGAGTAGTATAAATGATAAATAATGAAGAAGCTGTAACTACACGCTTATGCTTATACGAGTATATAACAAAAAATTAAAGATGACTGGCTGACACAAAAGTTCAATACAAATAATCAACTTTTTAAACATTTTTCCTTATCTTACAAAATTAAAGATGACTGGCTAACACAAGTAATTAATAAATTTTGTTTCATCTGACTCTCCATATCTAATTAATTTAACCCGCCAAATCGCGAAGCAGCTGTGCACCAATCAAGTTCCTGTATGGCAAATTCTGGCCTTCGTTGTCCAAAAGCGGATAAGGGCCTGTTTGGCACTCCTCCATTTGGTCTCTAGGGTAGAAGAGTGATGACGAAGGCGCGTCCAAACTCATCCCGCCCCCACCCTGCTGTTGCAGCCCCAAAGTCAACGACACGCCTCCGCCGCCACCGGCCACCGCATAGTTATAAGCGCCGCCGGAGTCCTGGGTGGCGGCGTAGGATGACGATGAGAAGTCCTCAACCAAGCCCGGGCCGAAAAAAGAGCGGTGGTCCCCACCCCTGGTTCCAAAGATCTGGTGATGATCCTGGCCGTTTGGTCGTCGTTGACCGTCAGCCTTGTTGTTGTCATTATTGAAGGTGACGTCATTAGGGTTGTTATTGACGACGGAGGAAATATCTATACGTACGAGGTTGGGTTTGTGATCCTCCGCGTCGGCCGCCGCGTTAGGGTTGTGATGAGGATGAAGCAGGCGGCCGTCGGAATCTCCGATGTAGTCATCCGATGAGTTGGCGGGAGCAAGATTCTCTTCTTCTTTGGTTTCTTCTAGATACATCTCCTCAACCATGGGTTTCCATAGCCTCACCCTTGCATTGATGAACCAATTAGAAACCTACATATATGCATGGTATGAACAATACTTAATTTACATGTTGTTGGTTTCTCTTTCAATTTCAAATTGAAAATTGTACGTAGTATTTACTCCCTCCCTCCCATAACTTTGTCCCGTTTTATCTTTTTCGTTCGTCCCATTAAGTTTGTCTCATACCATATTTGATAATATTTGGGTAGTTACAACTCATTCTTACTTTATTCACACTTTATCGGTTCAATATCAACCACACAATTTTACTTTTTTTTAAAAGTTATGTCACACCCCTTTGCCCAAACATAATGGGACGGAGGTAATATTAATTATTACTACATAGGAGTATTAGTTAAAGTAGGAGTATTATTGCTACATGTTGTTGGTTTCTCTACATTTGTGTAAAACATCATCATTTTTTCATATAGGAGTATTATTGTTTTTCTCAAAATAGGACTTGTCCGCTTCTATTAATAAGATTAGGTAAGTTCCATTTTAAGAAGAAAATACATTTGGTCCTATTATAAATCTTTTTCTATGTTGTACACGTATTTTGAGCAATTTCTATTAGATAAAGTATCTTAAGTAAGAGTAAAACATAGATCAAATACAAAAATAAAAAACATTGTTTTTCTTCCTAAAATATGACTCATTCACAACTATTTGAAAAAATTTATAGTACTTTACATAGAATCAAATAAGTATGGAGTTTTACTAAAATATTACTAATAAAAAGTAATGATCGAAAATATGATTTAGTATTAATTATTATAATTGTGTTCAAAGTTTAGATTATAGTAAATACAACATACATCGTCACTGTGAAGTATGAACACAATTATAGTAACCGATACTTACTAATTACATTTTTGTTCACCATTTTTTCAAGAATATAATACTAGTGGATTTTTTCCACTAAGTATTAGTTTATGAATAAAACATAGCACTCTGTGGGAAAATGTTATTATAATTTTAGATTCCAAAACTGAGGGAAAAATATAAGATAAAAAGATGTCTTAGTTTGACAAAATAAGTGGATAGTACGGAGTAATAAGTTAAAAATGTAGTGAACAGATTTGAGACGGTTTTTAACAAATTTGAGACGATTCTTGAGTAGATAGAAGTGCTTTTTGAAAAAGAAAAACAAATAAAATTAGTCCATACTTTAATTGAAATAAATGCTATTTATTCAATATAAAATCATTAATTTTTAATTCTTACATTAGTACCAAATTAAAGAAATGCCTAAAATCAATAATTGCTAATTTTTAAATACTTAGTTGAAAAGCACTTTTTTCAACTCTTGAAGGTACCACTATGCAGTGAATATAAAAGTAAGCATTATTAGAAAATGACATTTGTACACATTAATATATACTTGTATACTTATTTGGTCAAGACGGGTCACCATACAATCTTTTTATGAGAAATTATGTCACAAATAACTGTGAAGAAATTTATGTGAAAACGCTTTATTAGTTTCACATAGAAAACTTTATTTTTGAATAGACATTGGGTTTTGCGTTTCACAAAGTATATGTATGTGTGGAGGAAATATATCGGAAAAATAAACGAATTATTCACATATCGCTGAACAAGTATAAGTTTGTGCTTTGTATGAATGTATGAACACCAAAACTAATATTTGTGACATACTCATTATTGGAAACATATAGAACCGTATCATAACCCATTCTTCAATTTATTGGCTTTATCAATTCATTATTTTACTAAACATATAACTTTTATTTCGTAATGGTCACTTTTATGCTTGAATTTAGTGAAGTTTCTGTAGAGAAACATTGTAACTATATTTTCATATTGTTTTTTTTCTTTATTTTAATAACAAAATATATTTTAATTATAGTTTATCAATAATTAGCAAATTTAGTCAATCAGTCATTTTAAATATTATGTTCATCCATTTGAACAGATTCAATCAATTGAAAAGATTTCACTATTAATAAACAGACTATTGTTTGTAAAGTGAAACCATACACCAATGTGTATAATTTTGTTGTTATTTCTTTTAGTAACTTCTTTTAAATGAGCGTGGTTCTTTTTTACTGTTGAGATTCTTCTTAGTGCCAAAATCATTGCCCTGCATATAAACTGAAAAAGTGAACTGGCTTGTGGTAGAGAAAAGAACGTGCCTGGCTTCTGGAGAGACCTGTTTGGCGGGCTAAAATATGTTTATCCACATCACTTGGGTACCTGCAAAAAAGTTTTCCATAAAAAGCCAAAAGTACATTGAGAGTTAATGTTTTTTCCGTGGCAACCTGTCTCATCACATAGTACAACTACCTTTGTTTTTGTGTAGTGATATATAGGGAAATGATTTGGAGAAGGGTTCAGAATTACCCCTATGTTCTTCCTCAATTTAAACCATCTTTTCTCACCCATTATCTACTTACTCCCTCCGTCCCTTATAACTTTGCCAACTTTCCTTTTTTGGATGTCCCATTAACTTTGCCACTTTCCCATTTAAGTAAAGAATTTGTGGTTCCAGTTAATTCTCTCTCCTCTGCACAAACCTCAACCACACAGTTTTTACTTTATTAATCCCCGTGCCGGTCAAACTTGGCAAAGTTATTAGGGACGGAGGGAGTATAAGTTACAACTTACAAGTATAATTTAGTCTCTCCTTTCAATGTGTCTAGATTATACGAGATTAAATCAGATTAAACAAAACCAAACCTAAACATGCAGACCGCACAAATTAGATTTGAACGAATCAAATCAGATTAGACCAAGTTAGATTAAACATGTTCCACAGTAGGCCAGTTCAATTTGATTTACATTACACTTCATGATAGAATTTAGGGCAATCATATCATTAAAAATGTGGGTCTCGGATTATTTCTTCTGAATAATCTCGCAACCCTCAGTTAAAAACCATGTAAATCTCCAATTATTTTTCCTAAGAACGTCCCAGATTAACAACAAAAACTTTCTATTCTTATGTTCAACATAGTTATAAGCTATGAGGGTGGTTGAATCCACTTCTAAGAAGTTCTTTTACTCATTCATGGAACAAAAACAGATATTAGAGTGTTTGAGTGAAAGTTGAGAAGTATTTCTGAATGTTTAGAAAGTGTGGAATTAACTTCTAAAAAATTGATTCTAATTCTGATTCTACTTCTACAAAGCATAATCAATTTCAAACACCCACTTAAAAAGAACTCAAAACCAAGAGCTAAAATTAATCATATATTCACGACACTAGAAAACAGATCCTAACAAGAAAATGGTGAGAGGGATATGATGTCATTGGCACAATTTTATAAGAGGAGGACCACTAGACTATAGGTGATTGATGCATGGGACCAGTATATTAAGGCAAAAAAGTTCATAGAAATAAGTTTTCAAAAAATATATTAGATAGAAGAGTAGAATTAGCATGAAGAGAGAAACAATATGACAGTGAAGATCAGAGATACATTGGAATCTCAGAAGTTATACGTTGGTGGAGAAGAACTATTAAAAGATGTGTGTCTCATTATATATTCTTCAACAATGATTGATCGGAACATATTGTACGTCCCACCGCCCGCATTATACGCACCAAAACTTAACATCAAATAATTGATGGATTATTTTGCCCATAAGGCCACAAAATAAATTTGATCTTATATTTGGACTGACGCCCGTATTATTTCTGAAAAATATTTTCTGGTTAATTGTTGACATTTTGGTGGACAAATGTTTTGATAGTACTTATCCCACCAAACTTATAAGTCAAATTGAATTATTTTGATCAATAATCTTAAAGTATGCATATGTACGTAATTTGTATCTTTTATGCTTTGAAATTGTCTTTAATAATGAGAAATTCCATATAATTATCGTTTTTAAATAATTTTGTATTAAAAAATTCACAGATCAAATTTGATCACATTGGATTAAAAAAGTCAATATGATCAAGACAATATTGAATTATATAGAATTATATTGACGAAAATAAATACACTCAATTTTTTTTGAAATATGTATATATACGAAGTATTATTCTCTCGTACATAATATATATGTTTCCTTCAACTTTAAAAACTTTATGTTTAATTATTCACAGAAAAATGATGCAAATTCAATGTATGTTTGTAGGTTCCTCCTTTATTAACAAGTTATTTTAAATTTTAAATGAAATTATGAAACGTTACATGAAAATATCCGAAACTAACCAATATGCATCTTATATTCAGTAATTTACTTGGGAAATTACGTAGTAATAATTAAGTGGAGTAATTATTTTGGAAATTACCTTAAATAAATAGAAAAAAAAGTATGTATACTCCAAAATAGTAGTATCGGGTTTTTATTCTCAAAATAAGAGTAACTACTGTTATGTTTTGAAAGTACCTGACTTTAAACATGATAATTTTAACAATAAATATTAATATTTTGACAATAAAAAAATGAGAATTATATTTTGAATTTTCCTCAATTATTTTCACCGTGCATTAAATACAATGGTACTAGGTCAAAGGAAAAATACGTACGGATGAAGGAAGTGCTCGAAAAGCCAGGCTCGGAGAACGGAAACAGATCTTTCCGGCAAGCCACGTTGGGGCCGCCATGGATGAGCCTCCATCATGCTCATCTGCTGAAAGGACCTTTGCTGCCGGAGTGCTTGATCCAGGATTTTCAACCTCGGCGTCTCTCCCTTGGTCGTGCCGGCGGCCGCCGCAGCTGCGGCGGTGGAGTCCTTTTCGACCGTGGCTTTCTTGATCGCCTTCAACTGGGCCATAATTCCATCTCTGAGACATCTAAAGTGTCTCGACATCGCCTTGGCCGCTAAGGCGGTGTACCCTTTTGCGGCCCCGTCGCCGGCCACCGCCTCCAACGACGACACGACGGCCTTCATTTCATCGCAATACTGCTGGTATCGTCTATCAACCTAATTAAGCAACCACAACAAATTAACATACAACTCAAATGACTTGAATAAGTACAGTAAATTAATAATAATAATCCTTGCAATAACTATAATAACAATAATGATGACAATAATTATTATAATAATTGAATAGATCAGACCCACTAATTGACTCATAAGTCATAACACTTTTTTTATCAGATCCTTAATTAGCCTCCACTCTATTTTAGAAACAAAGTGAATATCGCTTTTATCACTCGTTTGGAAATTTCTACATCCACTTTTTATGATTTTTTAAAGGCTAATAATTGAGTTAAGCTTAAGCCAAACTAATCTTTAACGTTGAAATACAAGTCTTAAATCGTGTTTGTTATATTTGTATCGTTGTTAATTAAATGCAAGTTTTTAGAGAGTTTATGAGGAATTAACTCTTAAAGTGTAAATTAATGGGGTGAAAAAAGAAAAAGTAATCATAGAGTGATCTAATATAAATATAAATACCAACAATAATAATAATAATAATACAAATAATAATTGTAATAATAGTAAAAATTGTAAAAATATTAAATAGTACTAGTAATAATAATAACAAGAACAACAACAAAATAAGGCTTGGTTAAAAAATAATTAGCGAATGAATTGAACATAATTAGCACCGTTTGGGCATTAATACAACGAAAATGTTAGTCGCTTAATTAGTTCAAGATTTCAATTCCCAACAAACCCAAACAACCATCAAATCAACTTATATATATCATTCCTAAAAATATTCAATGATGTACCTAGAATTTCAGCTGTTTTTTGGTGCAACGTTATGCTCTCACCCGACGAAGAAAAATAACGCAGAAGTCAATAATCAAGACAAAGAGGAAATTTTCTTCTTCTTAATCACAAAATGAATTTATCAAAATGTTAATCAATCATTTGACATCATTCTTGACATAAATCGATCTAATGGTCAAACAAATGGTTTAACCGCTACTATATATATCTACCACTTATAGTGGAGGAATAATTGGACACTTTGTTAAATCTCTCCATTTCAACAATCTCTTATCAAATTAAAACACTAATTATTTTAGATATATATAGGAATCATACATATCCACATCCAACTAACTCCTCTAAATAGTTCCCTCCCTTCAAAGACAGGCTTTGTAATATTGTGTTTTTAGCATGGGTATCAGAAATGGGGTTCTAATTACTTTTTTGTATTAAGTAGCTAGTACTTTTAATCAACTAATGTGATCTAGCCAGTTGGACTTTAGCTTAAATATGCAAAACCACTAATCTTTTTTCTTGAAGTAGCTAGCTTGTAGACACACTTGACAAACAATAAAAAGGTAAAACAAAGAAAAGCTAACCTTTGGAGCACATACACACTTATATATAAAGCGCTCACGCCCAATCAGCATATTGTCCATTAGTGAAAAAGAAATTCTATAACTATGACTTAAGATAATATATAGGATTGTGCTAGTATGATTACTAATACTTATGTGAGTCATACTTACTTCAAATAAGAGTACAACTATTTGTATAATTAGCTTCTTTATGTTTGACTAAGTAGGTACTATTATAGAAATTAAAAACAACACATTAATCTTACTTGGAAAAAGTAGATACGATAGTATATTTTAGTCTTATTTGAAATATTTTATATCTCATCACTCCCACAACTAACTTTCCTAAGTCAAAGTTTGATAACTTTAACTGATAAATTTGATTTACATTATGAAGTAATTTATAATTTCAAAACAACTATTTATGAAAACATATTTGAAATATTTCAAAACAAGTATTTATTATATTTAATTATTAAGTACAAGAATATCATTTTAAATCATAATGGTAAAAAAGGAGCAGAACCAAGAATTTAGATTGGAGCGAATTGAAAAGTGATTATACTTAACTTAAAACATTAACAAGTTGAACAAAATAAGAAAAATTTAAAAAATTAATACAAAAAATATTAGTGTGTCATGAGCTTCACCGCACCATAGCCTAACCAAGATCTGGTCCTAGCTTACCAAAAATTAATCAAATATCACCTCCAAAGTCAAATTAATTAAGAAGCTAAGGCCGAAGACGGGTAGTTTTTCTAATTGATTGCTATTGTGTTGTCAAAAAATGATTGTATTATTGTGCTAAAAGATTGAATTGTACAATCAATTATATCAAAATTGGTACATATACCCCCACATATGTTTGTTAATTTATATATGGAACTTCCTAATTTTCAGATAGATGAGAATATTTGAACTTGCAAATTGATCTATAAAACAATACACATAGTATATACCTCTTGGAGCATTTGAAGAAGCTTAGCTTTGGTTTTGTGCAATTCAAGAAGGTCAACGGAGTCAAAAGAAGGGTTTCTTTCGGAAGTACGATGAGCAGCGCAAGAATCGTGGGCGGTGGTCGTACAGCCGTCGTCCTCCCATTGGCGGTGGTGGTTGGTTTTCTTCTTCATCCTTAAATGATGATTAAGGTTGCTGCTTTCCGAAGTCCCAAGGCTGCAGAACTCATTTAAGAGCTCCTGAGCAGCGCCCAGATACTTCGAGTTTCTGATCTGCAGAAAATACCCACTACCCTCCCCTGACGACGATGGGATTGATGGACGGCTCAGATTCCCCGCGGGCTTCCCCAGGAACTCTGCCCCCAGCCCCACAGGATTTGGGGTTGCCCTTAGTTCGAAGGACTGTAACCCAATCGCGGAAGGGTTTGAGGAGCTGAGGGAGAGTGAGAGCCCTTGACTGGGTCTCTCGTTCCCTTCACATGGGAACACGCACCTCAGAGACGACGACGTTTCGGCGTCCTGCTGCGGGTCAACCCACGTGCTGAAATCTTGACTGTGATAGAACTGGTCGCCGCCGGCGGAGATTCCGGGAGTCTTGGAAGAACCCCCCGCCTTGTTCAGGAACCCCTTCCACCCCATCATCTCCATCCCTGTATTATAGCAGATCTCTTGATGATCTTGATGATGATCATGATGGTGATGATGATGATTGTTCTGTTCATAGCAGCTTTGCTGTGGCATGTGAAGATTCATCATGTTTCCTGAAGAAGGATCGGAGTACCAATATCCGGTTGTCGTGACCATCGTCGGCGGCGGCGGCGGCCGCCGTGGTTTCTCTTCCCCTTGGCCGGCCATACAAAAAGACATAGCCTTTGATTATTTATTTATTATTCTCTCTGCTTTTCTTGGTCTGGAACTAGGCGTCCGTACGAGAAAGACTTGACTTCTTCATACAAAAAGGAATTAACTAAGATAACATCAATCAGGAATCAATATTACCTTTTTCTGCACAAAAAAGACCCAATCTTTATTCACTTTGGTGTTTACCCGGACCTTGTTTTTTCTTCTTCTTTCTGAAACTTGGCTTTTCTGTTAATAACCCAACAAGAAAGAGTGTTTTAATTTATGAAGACCAAGATATATAGGGGAAGCTAAGGGCAGGGACAGTTTAATTTCTTGTATCACTTAGACAGAAAATCAGGTGTGGATGATGTTTGGATGTTATGGGGAAGGGGTGGAAGAAGGTAAGCTAAGAGAGAGGTGAGGAGTGGGGAAGGGATGATGATGATGACCTCTAGCTTAGCCATGTTATATTGATATTCTCTCTCATTCTCAGTGGGTGTGATTGTGTTTGCTCTCTAGCTAGCTAGCGGGTCAATCCTATATATATGGTGCCTCCTATAATTAACTTCTGAGTTTGACCTTTACGGTAAACTTGAGTTATATATGGAAATAATTAGGGAGGGGTGTCATTAGGGAGAACTCTTAGGTTTAAAGTAAAATTTTGGGTTAAAACTTCACTCTCTTATATTTAAATCCTCCTAAATACGTAGTAACTAGCTAGCTCGCCATTCCGCGAGGCCCTTCGAGTTCATATACTACACAATTAGTGGAGCACCGTACAACGAGCTCAGTGACATTTTGTAGTTTAAGTGAAATTCATGGCTTCTGTTAAATGAGCGTTAATGCACTTGTAATGGGCATACGACTTCTTTTGTTGAGTATGAGAAGTCTAATAATGAGTATCACGATCTTTAATTCATACGTTGTACTACGTACCTCCGTCCCATTTATATTGTCCCGGAATAGGGTGACACGGTTATTAAGAAAAGTGAGTTTGTGTGGTTGATATTAATTGATAAAGTAAGAATAAAGTAAGAATGATTTAGAGCCACACAAACTTTGTCAAATATGGTATGAGACAATTTAAGTGGGACTTCCCGAAAAGGTAAAACGGGACAATATAAATAGGACGAAGGGAGTATCTTGTAATGCATTTTTTTTCTTACTCGTATTTTTTAAAATATATACAACAAAACCGTATGAGTCCAAACGTGAATCTAATTGGAGTATAATATAATACCTTTGAATATGCAATTATGCATGGATATGACACTTTAAAATGTGTGTTGCACCAATATCAAATAAGCATACATAACATACGAAATGATCATCACAAAATTCAAAAAGCTCCTTTAAAATCTCTAGTATATGTGCTCAAATTTTCATTTGTGTATGCCCATATTAGTATAACGTAAAGAAACACATACGTATTGGGAAATGAAATTGCACTTAAGGTATAGTAGGCTCAAATTTTCATTTGTGTAGCTCATTTGAATTCTTAGTATGCTAAAATTGTCATTTGAATTCTTTAACGTGCTCAAATATTCATTTCTTTATATAGATTATACTCATTTTTAATATAAAACAAAACTTATGGATCTGAATATCACTAAGCGTAATAACTCAGGGAACGTTAGGCAGTCAGACAGATGCAAAACTACGTATAGCTTAGGCTCCTCGTAACTTGCGACAAACAAGCGATCAAACTCACCAGACCTGCGTAAGAAAGAAAAGATGAAAGGAAAAGAGTGAAAAGAAAGATAGAGGGAGGAGGGGTAACAATTTAAGCGCCAGAGTATTAAGTATACACCCAGTTGAGTCGCCGTCTCTGCTCAAGCTAGAGAACGTGGTGTTGCATTTGTGCTGGAGGAGAAGAGATCGTTGCAGTCAGACCAAGACGTATGTCGTCGTACTAGCTCGTCGCCATTGGGTGCCGCCATCACCGTCATAGAGGAGATTTTACGCCGCCACCAGCTGAGCTATCTTGTTACTACCGTTAGAAGCTACCATCCACGCTCCCCGGCTAGGAACGATTAGGACGACGACACCACCATACGTAATTCTTTTGTTCTCTGTCTTAGTTTTTGCATTTCGGCTATGTTCTCGTGGATTGAGCCAAACAGTAATAAACAAAATACTCTGTGGTACAGTGAGCATTGTATAAACTATCTGATTGTACAATGTACATTGAGCACTTTACAACCGAGTGCATAATATAATTTGTCAGGGTCTCAAAGATGACGTGTCATCCTTTTTATAGGAAAACAATTACATTTCTATGATTACTCTTCTTCTCTTCTACGGCCTTGAACTCTTGACTTGGTTGTTTGAAATATTTTACCTATCAACCAAGTGGTAGAGGAGCTGGTAAAATATCTACGAATAAAATAAAAATTATTTATAAAAATGTGACCTCGTAAGTGTAATGAGTACTGACTACAGTAGTAACTCTAGTCATAATAACTTATTTTCAACCTTTACACTTAAGTGACTATAACACTATATATACTATAATAACTTTTAGTCATATTTTTTGTAAGTAATTAAATCAGTAAAATTTAAATAAAAAACTCCTTATATGACACTTAGTATTTGAAATTATAACTTACAAAATTTATAATACAAAGTAGATTAATATTGGTAAAATTTCCAATATAGGAAAGGGGAGTTTTGGGATTGATTTGATTTAATTAATTTAACACTAAGATGAACGACTTATGTGTTTTAATAAGATAGAGATTGAAACGTGGTTTTGCTTATATCCATTTAATGAAATGTGCGTTGATCCTGGTTGTAGCTTTAACTATCTTCCTCTCGAATACTCAGTAGCGGAGTATTTCCAAATCATCGAGGATAGTTATTAATAATGACATGCATTCAACAATAAAACTTACTATCAAGTCAATATAGAACATGCGCCTTATATTGACCCGATAGTAACAATAAAACTTAAGATGAAATCGACTGAGATTGACAATCTCAACACAAAAAGTTTATTGGTTTAATCAATATAATTAATTCTCCTTGGATTATTAACCATGAGGCACATGCATTAATAATCCAAGTTTACTACCATTGAAAGTACCGAGTGAATAACAAGTGTATTCATCCATCAACACTAGTAATAATTAATATATGAAACAAAACTAGTTGATCCATTAGGTAATGATCAAATATTAATTAATATGAGATATAAAATAGGAATGTAATTAATATACAAGGAAGATCATTAAAGAAAATAACTCACAACTTACAAATCATAAGCTTCAATGTAGCAAAACCAAGATGGAGACTAAACATGCTAGAAAATATAAATAAAACACTTGACTAAACTGAGCTTAAGAGTATATGTAAATTAGTGATTTTAATGTGAAGGAAAATAGGTATATTTATAATTGTTTGGAGGTGGCAGGGTCATGTACCCGATCGAGTATATAGGGTACCCGATATTACCTTAAACAAGAATATTACCTTAAACACTCTTTTGCGGAAGAAAGAATAGGACATAATCCCTCTTTTGTTTGGCGAAACATTATTGCAGGGCACAACGTGGATATGGCAGGTGTTCAGTACGGAGAGTTGGAAATGGCAAAGATGTTTCTGTGTGGAAAGATGCGTGGCTACCTGGGGAGGGTTCTAGAAAAATAACTTCGGATCGGCCCGATGGTATTGTTGATATGAATGTGGCAGTACTTATAATGGAGGATGGCAAAACATCCAGCGCATTGTGCACTTTTTTCTGAGGAGGAGACTAGTGCAATTCGGATCATCCCTTTGAGTCCTAGACAAGTTGAAGATGGATATAGATGGAATGATGATCCTAAGGGGCGGTAACCGTTGAAAGCAGCTATATGAGACTAAGGAGGGAACTGATTTAAGCCAATTGGAAAGGATGGACATCTATTCGGAAATCTGGTTGCCCACGAAAATAAATAAAAAATCTGGCAAATGGTGATTGGTATTCTTCCAACAGGGGATGTTTTGAAGAGTAAGCGGGTATAGGTATTAGGAAACTATCCTTTTTGTAATATGGATGAATAGACAGCTCTCCATCTATTCATAAAATACCCACTGGTTCGTGGCATTTGGGAGGTTGCAGGGGTGTTATCACTATTGGGAGAGGACTCAATCTTGGGATGCTGGCAGAAGGTTTTTTAGCCGTTTGTGTGAGGAGGACTTATGGAACACTTGTGGTGCTCTTCTGGAGCATTTGGAAAATGCGAAATGACATATTGTGAAGAGGAAAAATATTCTCACGGGAAGAGATTCAATGCGCGGCCAAAACGATTTTAGCTAGTTGTGGGGAAAGGAATTCTCAAGATAAAGGAATTCTAGCAAGGAACTCCTGGAGCGAACCGAAAACTATTAAATGGGGAAAGCTAGAAGAAGGTTGGGTAAAAATCAATGTGGATGCAGCTAATGATACTCGAACAGGTTGTTGGGCATGGGAATGGTTCTGCTAGTGATGGTAATTTCATTCACGACAGATGCAGGAAGAAGAAGGCTATGTGGTCACCTTTTGAAGCAAAAGCTGTCGGGGTGAGGGAGGCTATTATGTGGGCAAACGAGAATGGTTGGAATAAAGCGGTTATGGAAACTGATGTGGCTTTGATGGTGTCAAATTTAGAGGGAGAGACAAATGATGTCCAAGTAGGTATCAATTTTGAGGACATTCAATTTTTACTCGGGGATGAGGCAAGCAAATCAGTCAAATGGTGTAGGAGATAAGCAAATAGGGTGGCCCATCACCTTGCTAAAGTGACATTATCTATGGCTGATAACTTTGTAAATTTTATGTTTCCTCCTAAAGTCATTGTAGTTCACTTGGCAAATGATTTATTGATATAATAAACATTGTTCTTCTATTAAAAAAATCTTTTACTCTAGTCTAATTTAGAAGATGAAAATTACATCATAATTGTACAAGAGCTGAGTAAGCACAACGTAAAACCATTCTAAAATGTGGTGTTTATGCACTATCGAATAGCACATACCAATGGTATTTTACTTTTCTTTTCATATTTTGTGATAGATAATAAACACAAAAGTGAATTGTGTAGTGGCACTTTTGCAAAACACAAACATAATTTTATCTATATAAATATAAAGTAAAACAGAGCACAAAAGTAAGTTTATCACATAGAGTAAGTACATTGAATTGCAATTTGCAAGCATGCGACTACATCTATATGATGGAACACATAACCATTAGTATTGTAAAATTGGGAAACTATGAGTAATTACTCTCAATTATGAAAAATACTATTATGTTTAAAATTTGGTAATATTAAAACATGATATGAATTACTCTAATTTAAGGAACAAAAACATGACATGACTATTTTGGAATTCTAAAACGTTTTTACTCCTATTTAGACCAATTATTTTATAGAATTTCAATGCATTAATGCTAAGTATGAACTCCGTAAGATTTAATATTGAACACCCTACTAAGAGGGTGTTTGGATCTGATTTTAGAAGCTGATTCTGTTGTCCCAGGGAGCACTT